GCGGTGCCAAGTTGACTGTCGGTATATCGAAGTGCTGAAGTGCTTGTACAGTAGAGCTACGATGGCTATCCGAGTACAGAACCAGAGTACGAAACCTATCCAATTGCAGAGAGGTGGTAAGACAAGGTGATGTTATATCCCCGAAACTCTTCACCGCTGCATTGGAAGACGTTTTCAAGCTTCTGGACTGGAAAGGATACGGTATTAACATCAATGGCGAGTATATAGTATATAGCGACGATATAGTCATTATGGCAGAATCGCTGGAGGATCTAAGCACTATGCTCAATAACCTCAATAGTGTCTCCCAACAGATAGGTCTTAAGATTAACATGGACAAAACAAAAATCATGTTTAACGTCCATGTCATACCTATGCCGGTAGTTGTTGGGAGCACTAAGCTCGAAGTTGTTGACGAGTATGTTTACCTGGGACAAATAGTCCGACTAGGTAAGTCACTTGGAAGAGAAGGCCAAATTGGCCTCTAAAAAGCTTGGCGTGCTCAGCAGAGCGGGACAGTATTTCATGCCGGCTCAACGCCTGCAACTTTACAAGGCGCAGGTTCGGCCTCACATGGAATACTGTTCCCATCTCTGGGCTGGGGCTCCCCAGTGCCAGCTTCTTCCACTTGACCGCATCCAGCGCCGAGCGGCTCGAATCGTCGACGACCGAGTCCTTTCCGATCGGCTCGACTCATTGGCACTGCGAAGAGATGTTGCATATCTTAGCATTTTCTTTCGCATTTACCATGGGGAGTGCTCTGAGGAATTGTTCGGATTAATCCCAGCCGCCAAATTTCACGAACGCACATCGCGGCAGAACTCCCGATACCATCCACACCATCTGGATGATTGGCGGTCCACCACTGTGCGATTTAGAAGATGTTTTCTTCCTCGCACAACTTCCTTGTGGAATAGTTTACCACCAGCGATTTTTCCGGACCGATTCGACTTAGGGACCTTCAAGAAAAGAGCCTACTCCTTTTTAAAAGGCCGGCAACGCATCTGCAATTCCCCTGGTGTTGCGGTTGTTCATGGGCGGCGGTAGTCACTTACCATCAGGTGAGCCGCATGCTCGTTTGCCCCCTCTCCTATAAAAAAAAAAAAAAAAAAAAAAAAACTTCGACCGAGAGGTCAATCGACGGATTCAACTCGGCTGGGCAGCGTTCGGGAAACTACGACACATCTCCTCGTTAGACATACCTCAAAACCTTAAAACAAAATTGTACAACGAGTACGTGTTGCCAGTGATGACTTACGGAACTGAGACGTGGTCCTTCACTGCTGGCCATATGAGGAAGCTCAAGTTCGCTCAGCGAGCTATGGAGAGAGCTATGCTCGGGGTTTCTCTGCGTGATAAACTTAGAAATGAGGATATCCGCAGTAGAACCAGAATAACCGACATAGCTTAACGGATTGGTAAGCTGAAGTGGCAGTGGGCCGGACATATAGCTCGAAGAACCGACAACCGATGGGGGAGAAAGGTTCTAGAGTAGCGGCCTTGTACCGGTAGGCGAAGTGTAGGGCGACCCCCCACGAGATGGAGTAAGACATGCAGGAAGTCGATGGATGCAGGTGGCTCAGGATTGTGCTTTGTGGCATTCCTTGGGGGAGGCCTATGTTCAGCAGTGGACTTATGAAAGGCTGTAATGATGATGATATGGTACTACCTGCGCCACTTTAAAATACAATAATGTTAGTATGTAGCCTTTCTTTTTTAATACGTCTTTGCCTACGACAATATTCTTAAAATGCATTGTTTAGCATGCAATAAAATCACTCGAAGTGACGAACAGCTTATATGTATTGCATGCAAGGGATGTTACCATTACAAATGCTATAATTATCGACGTCTTTCTATAAAGACAATTTACACGAACTGAAACGACAATGGAAGTGCCAATCATGTAAGCTAGTAACGCGTCGTAAAGATGATAATACGCCTGTTCGCAAGCAGCTCTCATCACCGCCTTATCGACATCTCGGATATGTCTTCCGATAACATAACACCGCAGACGGTTGATTTCACCGAGAAAAGTGCTTCCGTACTACCATCGGCGAGTATAACATATGATCAGTTCAGCGCACTCCTGGACTTAAAATTGTCGGATATGAGGTCTGCAATTAGGGAGGATATCAACTGTGCTATTTGTAAGCTTAAGGCAGAGTTCACCGAGACGACTGACCACTTAGCCGCACTTCAATGTTATATGCAAATAAAATTAGATACTGCCACAAAAAGAAGCTGAAAATCTAGTCGAGTGTCTTGCCATGAACGGTTGCTGGTCTCTACGGCGGTAGTCATGTTAAGGGTGCTCATTACCCGCTCAACCTGGCCATTAGTTCGTGAGCTACCTGTCACAATTAAGTGGAGCTTTATATTTACCGACTCGTAGTACCTACTCTTTGAAGTCTCTACTGGCCGAAGAGCAAAACGCAGTGTTTCAAGGCCTTGATGATGTTAGAGGAGTCAATAAGCACGGTATGACGAAGCAATACGTACTTCGTGAAAGCATCGATGATGACGAGGACCTATTCCTTCCTGACATTCTTACCACTGAGTTTCCCGGTTGCGTCAATATGCAGCGTGTGCCACAGAATCGATAACTTCGATATGGAATGTAATGTTGTCACAAATTTACCCGAGTTCGATTTTGAGATCTGGCACGTCATACATATTAATTTAAAAAAAAAACTACTTATTATCACAAAATAAAATGTTCAAGAGGCATGACATTTTTAATCGTTCGTTACACAACTAAGGAGAACGAAAATTTTAAGGCATTACATTTCACGCGTAAGTAAACTTATTACATGTATATGTATATATATTTAAATAACTTTCCGAAACACGATTTACATGGAAGTATTAATTAAAGTTATGTTCACAGTCATTTTTTCTATTAATTATAATGATATTATCATTAATGTTGCCAGCTAAAGCTTATAATTACCCGAGGTACAATCTCATCGCTTACGATAATGGCGAGAGTGCCTAATGTATTATACTACATATTTACCATTGCGTTAATATACCTGTGCTTATTATGTCATTTAAGTTTATTCATCTTAATGTTTTTTTTTATTTGTCAGTTTCAGAAAAATCTTACACTCTTCCTCGCCTAGCCTCCAACCGTCAAATTTGTACCGTGTAAGGAACTTAATTCCAATAAAATAATATTTCTTTCATGACAAGATAAGAAAAAGTGCAATGGAGATGGATATTATTCCATCTCGCTTCCTTGGCCAAGGCCGCCTACACTATGTCAGAACGGGTTGTGACGGGAAAATCTTACACTTTTTCTCGCCTAGCCCCCATCCGCCAAATTCCTACCGTCCGATAAGGAACTTCGTTCCAACAAATTAAATGCATATACAGTATTGCCTCAGCCAGTATCGGAATACCCGGCGTCGACATATCGAGTAACGTGCAGTTTCGTGGTCACTTGGAAGAGAAGGCCAAATTGGCCTCTAAAAAGCTTGGCGTGCTCAGCAGAGCGGGACAGTATTTTATGCCGGCTCAACGCCTGCAACTTTACAAGGCGCAGGTTCGGCCTCACATGGAATACTGTTCCCATCTCTGGGCTGGGGCTCCCCAGTGCCAGCTCCTTCCACTTGACCGCATCCAGCGCAGAGCGGCTCGAATCGTCAACGACCGAGTCCTTTCCGATCGGCTCGACTCATTGGCACTGAGAAGAGATGTTGCATCTCTTAGCATTTTCTTTCGCATTTACCATGGGGAGTGCTCTGAGGAATTGTTCGGATTAATCCCAGCCGCCAAATTTCACGAACGCACATCGCGGCAGAACTCCCGATACCATCCACACCATCTGGATGATTGGCGGTCCACCACTGTGCGATTTAGAAGATGTTTTCTTCCTCGCACAACTTCCTTGTGGAATAGTTTACGACCAGCGATTTTTCCGGACCGATACGACTTAGGGACCTTCAAGAAAAGAGCCTACTCCTTTTTAAAAAGCCGGCAACGCATCTACAATTCCCCTGGTGTTGCGGTTGTTCATGGGCGGCGGTAGTCACTTACCATCAGGTGAGCCGCATGCTCGTTTGCCCCCTCTCCTATAAAAAAAAACCAGTAAAACTTGGTTAAGTGGGACCTGGATAAGTGAGAAACCTCCATAGCTGGAACTTATGCTTAGGTCTCGACACTTTAGCACTGAATTACCGCTAGTGGGACAAAACAAACCTCTCTATCTGGAATTAGTTCTTTCGATTTTATCTTCATAATTACCTGTATAATTGAGACAGCGAGTGTATTTTACCTCTTTTACTGAGACTATGTTTTGTGTACCGTTTTGTTTACTAATTCTTATTCTACCCGCAAATTCCACACTTGGCTAATTGAGTAAGTGACAGTTTTAGTTTGGTTATGTTATCGTCCTGATGTTTGTTTCAAAGGTGTTAAAACTTTGCCTGTGAATTACCAAAATAATCAAAAAGCTTGGATGATATCTACTATTTTTGACGACTGGACGAAAAATCTTGATGTTTGTTGACAATTATACAGCTTACAATAATATGCCCGATTTAAATATATAACATTGAAAAACATCTTACAGCTGACCCTTCCAAAAAACAAACTAAAATAACAGATTTTTTTGATTGACGCATTCTATACAGAATTCTATACATCATTTTTGTATTGTTTATAAAAAAATATTTTAGCTTTTTTGATTGTCAATATAGATTATAACTCATGTATAATGTTTACAAAATACGTTATTTATTTAATAATCCCACCTCTATAACTGAAATAACCTCTATTCTCATCTCTATTAATGCAACCCTCTGTAAATGAGACAGATATTTATTTATACGTGGATATCTGAGACACTGGGTAAGTGGAATACCTCTTTAAGTGAGACAAATTTGTAGGTCCCTTAAGATCCTAGTTATCCAGGTTTCAGTGTACTGTGATTGCAATAATCCTCTTCACTCTTATAATTTCGTATTTTTTAGTAAATAACTAGAGGCATAGTATACCTGTTCTAACGCCTGCCATATGTCGGCATCAGTGTACTTGTCAAATGGATCCATGTTGTATCGCAAACTGGCAGAGAATAACACCGGCTCCTGAGGAATGATGGCGATCTTGGATCTAAGCTCCTGCAATGGTCATTAGAAATAAATAAGTAAAATAGAAAATAATGATCTAAAATTACTGAGTTTCATATCTTTGCATTACTCTGTTTGACTTAACAAAAAATTATTGATGTTTTTTTTTAATCTAGATTTTCAAAGAAAAAAATAACCTTTAATTATCTGTGTAATGTCTATGCCTATAAGTTCCGAGAATAAGGGCTAATATTCTTACGCTCACCAGATGTCGCTAGTTGGGACTGAGGTGAACATATTTACTTTGATGTTTTCAGCAAAGAATAAACAGGAAAACACTAATAATGTGATAAAATTAAAAGTGGTACTGAACAAGTGCTAAATTTGAAAATCTTGGAACACTAGGTAGTGAAATACCAGGTGGCAAGACTGCTTTTCTGTCGTGTACTTCTGGATAGGTACCACCCTCTTACCTACTTCTGCCACCAAATAGCTATGCTTGCACTACTGTGTTCCGGGTATAGAGAGCCAGTATAATAACAGCACAGCCTGCCTGTTATTATACAGGCATTCCATCTTAGTCCTTTGAGGTTCCAACGCGATTAATTGTCGCCTTCTTTGTTGGAAGTTCATTGCAGTACTATAGCCACTTACAATCAGGTGGGCTGTAAGTTCGTTTGTCAATTCAATTTTATAAAGAAAAAACGAACATTTACAATTTACCTTGAGGGCGATTTTCCCGGTATCGACATCGTCGATATACACGTGGCCGTCAATGGGTGCCAGGCGAAACAAAGCCGATATGAGTGATGATTTACCCGCTCCCGTACGTCCCACGATACCGACCTGCAATGATTTGGAATTGATACAGTCACCCCTCAATTAGCTTTACTTTTTCGTTTACAGGATAGATAGGGTATTATTATTAAAATCGAAAAGATTTTTAATCTTTTTTGAATACCACTCCCCTATATGTCTAATTTGAAAATAAGACCTTCAGTTACGATCTTCCTATTCAAGTCAAACCGTGAACTCACTTAATGATTTCTTATATTTACGCGAACACTACCAGCTTGTACACTCCTGCATCTTGCAGAGGAATATTACACTTGACTGATGGTAAAAACTGACTAATCTTCTTCGGCGGCTTGAAATATGTTTTAATGGAAGCACGCTTCAAGATGTAGCCAATCTTGTCAGTGATACCTCTGACATATGGCAGTACAGCAGGCACTCGCTCGACTGTGGCCGGCTTCACTCGTTCACTGTGACGTAGGTGCGGGACCCGAAGCTTATTGTCGTGCAAAACTTGCTTGACGTGACTGGCAAGACTTCATGATACTGTAAGTTCATACTGCGTAGATCGGAACAAAAATTAGTAATTTTTAATCTGGAGGTAGCCGTGGTTAACTATGACATTGGGACGTCATACAGCTCAGTCCCCCCCGTGACCATGGGTGCTGTAAAGTGCTTGAAACGTCGGGAATGTAAAATAAGTTAATATACGCGATAAAATCCGTAAAATTAGTTCTATTTAAACGTGAACTCACTTATTATGCTCATTATCAAGGAAGCTCACCTATTGTGACTGGCAACTACGGAACCCTACCTCTACATTGTGCATGGCCCCACATGCACTTGGCCAGTTTTTAATTATAAATATTCAATTCCTTTATTTGTATAAATAAACTTATTTGAACCTGAAGACCACTTATACCAGTGATATTTGAGATTCTATGGTATGTAAAATCTTCAATACAATAACCTTGAGAGCAATAAAAAAAATTATTTTTCGATAGTTTAGTTAGAGTTGTGAAATATTCATGCATTTACCTACTTTTACTACTCTTTGGTCAGATCATAAAGTAGGTTAATGTCCTCTCTCTATTATTTATTATATTTAATGGACCCGTTGAGGGAGTCTGTGAATAGAAAGATAGATTGATGAAAATAATGAAGGCATTAATATAATTTTTATATAAAAATAGGTCAACCCGAAAGTAATCGCTGGCACAAGCTCGTCGTCCGCCATGTTTGCCCATCCGGAACAGTGATTGTGGTCGGTGTTTGTTCGTGTTTGGTGTTTGTGGCAAACACCACGCACGTGGAGGCGGCTTGAGAAATCATTAAAATGTAAGGTGTTCTTAATATATACACTAAACAGAAAATCAAGTACATCTTTTGCTAAACTTTTGAATCAAAAGCTAATTTTGAATGATCTGAATTGATCATAACTTGCTTAATTTATTTCAGTTTATGACAACCATGATTTAGTAAACTTAGTATACTAATATCTATCTACATTATCAAATGTTGTAACGTTGTTTTAACCTTGTTTACTGTAAGGGGTTTGAATGTTTTTTTAGTGTAGTATAATAGGAGGTAGGAAATACCAGTTAATGTTTTCAAATAATCTAGAACTACCAATGACAATGGCCTGAGTTTTCTTAGGATTAATGGTTATACCATAACGTTTACTCCAGTTCGGAATACAAGTCAGATCAGTGTTAATAGTGTCAACTGCTTCAGGCAAATCTTTAAGAGAGGACTGAATATATATTTCCAGATCATCACCATACAAGTGGTAGGAAGAGGACAAATTGTGACTTATACTAGTTAATGAAAATTGCAAACAGCAGAAGAGACAACACGCCACCTTGTCGTATACCAGCCGCTGTAGTAATCAAGGTGGAAAAAAATACCTGAATGCGGTGTCAAAGTCCAAACAAGTATTTTCGAAACAAGTCAACTACAGTAGGACATATGTTGAGAGGGCGCAGGATGCCTAACAAGATATCAAAATCAACAGTATTAAATGTATTACTAAAATCAAGTAACCTAAGAATAGATTAAAGGCAAGATAGGGATAGGTTTATAATCAGAAAAAATAGAGAGATTATACTTTTTGGGTGAAGAACTACAAATTCATCTTTCCCAGCTGAAAGGAAAAATAAAACAGAATTCATTGAATTATTCAGTTTGGAAGTGATTACATATGAAAGGAGATCAATGAGAGGGATGACATTTTCCGACTAAAGCAGTCACTACCAATCGAATTCGAATGGAAGGACATTATGCCTCTCTTAACATCACTGTTCAATTGACTAAAATTAAAAGCAGAGGTGTCCGGAGCAGGAGCTTTTGAAAGAGAATCTAAATTATTATTTTGCTTTATCGTTATATGCAAGGCAAGGTGAGAAATGCAAATTCAGATGATTGAAATCAAAGTGTTAGTGCAAAAAGTGAGAATCACTAAATTTGAATTCGGAAAGTCTGGAGTAAAACTTGCCATGTGGAAAAATCGCGAAAGAGCAGAACACCATCTACCGGGACGGCTAGTGAAATAATAAAAAAATGTAGAAACGTAAAAATAAAAAAAAATATCTGTATATTATATTTTCAAAACCGCTTAATTACATTTCTAAAATATATTGTGAATCCACAATATATATAAAACATTTCATATGTATTCCTTACCTTCCAACCGCTCTCGATAATAATGTTTAGATTCTTCAGTACTGGTTCAGCTTCCATGTCGTAACGCAGGTAAAGGTCCTTGAAGACAAGCCGGGCCCGCTGCGGCCAGCCGGGCGGCGGTGCCGGGCCGTCCGCCTGTTCCTGCGGCAGCGACGTGAACTGCACCACGCGCTCCACGCTCGTCATCTGAGATACCACCTCAGTCGCCTGCTTGACGCCGTATTGCACCATGTTCACAAGGATCAAGCCTTGAGACAATGCCAACCCTACGTTACCGGACTTCGTTGCCCCTGCAATTTGAATAATTTCAATAGAATACATATTTTGTCTATATGATTTACCCAGAATGAGAAAGCTGCATGTCACTTAACATTTAAATATAAGTACTTATGTGTATGCAGGTATTTTTTACGTGCAAAGAAATTTCAAACGTACACGAATTATGCCTATATTATGTGATTCATAGTCCATTATATATTCCATTATACCTCGATGGAAAATAAAGGTAAAAGCGATGTCATGTCGCCCCTGGCGAATTGTCTAAATTACTATTTAATTGTAGACTTATATTTCATTGTAGAAATTTAGGATGATTGCGTCATCCTAACCCTCAATAATATAGTATTCAAACGGATGGCTTAAAATGAATATACAAAAGACGAAAATTATGTTCCATGTCCATGTCACGTTGGGAACACTATACACAAAGTGGCACCTTGGACAAAATGCCAGATTAAGTAAGTTCAACTTTGACCACGGCTGATGCATCCAGGATGGCCGGCCCGCGTTCTGGTCAAACATCATCACCATCTCGTCCAGTCCATATACACCATATACGCCATCACCTCCAGTGCGTGTCGTTAGTGATGACTTACGGAACCAAGGTGTGCTCTTTCATTTTAGGCCGTATCACGAAGGTAAAATGTTGTTGTGTAAAGATCTATACAAATCTAGAACTATGGTAACTCACTTATCGCAACCGATTGATAAATAGAAGTGACAATGGTCTAACACACACTATCCTGATATATTTCCTACAGAATTGGCCTTCTGGTGTATTTACTATATCAGAATTGACCTTATATTGTGTTGTATTATCTATATATAAATTACTATTTTTTACGTTGCTGCGATTAGAAATACTTCAGTTTGGCAATTTTTTTTAAAGGCCGAGTGCAGGAAAGTGTGGAAAATTCGAAAGAAGCCTTGGCAACGTCGTTAAATCACATCATCATCTTTATTATAAGTCCGCAAAAATCCACCTGGCCTCTCCGGTTGTAAGGGGAATTGCCTTTAAGACTTGTCCCCGCGCTAACGATCTTGGGTGTGTGGGCAGAACCACAGAATAAATAATAGTTCTACGGCAGAACTCTTTACCGCTCTCCGCAACGCCCGCACCTTAAGATCACGTGGACTTTCTCGTTACAAGGTTGCCATTACGCAGGTACGATACATATAATATGCCGTATAATGACGCGCTGGTGTAATAGGAGTAACTGAGAGGTCATCAGTGCTTTAGTACCTGTAGTAAAAGTAATTCCATATACGTTACACTTGTTTTTATATTCTTTTTTTGTGAAACAAGTTTTAAAATAATTTTGTTAGCGAAACTTTTGTGATAAAGGACAAGTGGTTTTTACGTGTTAGGGCCATGCCGCAGCTATATTATGGCTGCAGCGCAAATGGGTGGGCTCAATCGGGGTCGGACCCCGCTCTCACAGAATACAAGCTTAAAATAGCAGTTTAAGGCCGGCCACATACATACGGAATTCCGTTTCGAGATTCCGTTTCGATATTCCGATTCGGGATTCCGAACGCAGCAAGTCCATATAAAATCTATGACCCGCCACACACGTACGTTATTTTTCCGTACGGAATTTCTCCGATTCGAGATTCCGTATGACCGCCTGTGCGTTCGGGATCCCGAACGGAAAAAAGCCGCTCCGAACACACGTCTTCCATAGATTTTAGGCCGGCCATATACATACGGAATTCCGTTTCGTGATTCCGTTTCGGGATCCCGAATCGGGATTCCGTGAATACATCACACACACACGTTTTTTTTCCGTTCGGAATAACAAGGGTCAGTTGAGAGACGTTAGCCATTGAGTCTAGACATTCTGCCAGCGAATAATGACGACGATTTTCTAATTGCAAATTACATTGTTGCTATATCATTCTTACTAGGTGCATCCCCTTATCACCCTAAGCTTGCAATATAGTCAATACTATGTAAAAAGATCTATCTATCCAGAGATATTTTTTAAATATTTATGTATGTAAATTCTATCGAGGAATTATTAAATAAAATAAGATGAAAGGTTACGAACAGCTATACACCTACAAGATTAAATTTAAAAACATACATAAATACACCTACTCGCTTCGGTCGTGCGACGAACACTGAGCGCATTCCGTACGGAATTTACGTATGTATGTTGCGACTCGTACAAAATCTATGGAAGACGTGCGCTCGGAGCGGCTTTTTTCCATCCGGGATCCCGAACGCACAGACGATCATACGGAATCTCGAATCGGAGAAATTCCGTACGGAAAAATAACGTACGTGTGTGGCGGGTCATAGATTTTATATGGACTTGCTGCGTTCGGAATCCCGAATCGGAATATCGAAACGGAATCTCGAAACGGAATTCCGTATGTATGTTGCCGGCCTTATACGAGTCGCAACACACATACGTAAATTCCGTACGGAATGCGCTCAGTGTTCGTCGCACGACCGAAGCGAGTAGGTGTATTTATGTATGTTTTTAGATTTACTCTTGTATGTGTATAGCTTTTCGTAACCTTTCATCTTATTTTATTTAATAATTCGTCGATAGAATTTACATACATAAATATTTAAAAAATATCTCTGGATAGATAGATCTTTTTACATAGTATTGACTATATTGCAAGCTTAGGGTGATAAGGGGATGCACCTAATAAGAATGATACAGCAACAATGGAATTTGCAATTAGAAAATCGTCATCATTATTCGCTGGCAGAATGTCTAGACTCAATGGCGAACGTCTCTCAACTGACCCTTGTTATTCCGAACGGAAAAAAACGTGTGTGTGTGATGTATTCACGGAATCCTGATTCGGGATTCCGAAACGGAATCACGAAACGGAATGCCGTATGTTTGAGGCCGGCCTAAGAGGACTACACGGGTTAAATGACCTCGAATGACGCGCGCAACATTTACAAAATTTCTGTATAGCATCGGGCCTCGGCCGGCAATGTCGGTAGACAGGCGTTTACGCAAACATGCGTAGGTATTACGTTCAAAAATAAGAATATGCAATTAAAAAAACTATTAATTGGATTAAGAAATTAAAACGCTATTACGTTAATATGTTGCTGGTAGAATAATCTGATAAAAAATCAGAATGATTACATATATATTAGCATGGTTTTTAATCGTTGAAAGAAATTCTTAGAGGAATCTTTGTGATTTTTTTCTATCGTATTAATTTAGTAGTATCATGTTTTCAACACACTAACTAACTAGCATATATCCTGAAAAAATCATATATTTTCTGATTTTGTTTACTGCAGTGGATCATATACTTTAAAGCATTATAAAACTTGCGTTTAGCTCCTGTAGTCCCCTTAATGCTGCTGTGTTTCGCATGGTGAGTGTAGAGAACCAGAGATCCTTTTTACTGGAATCGAAGTATTCTATCTTATTTAAATTCATTTGGATATAAAATATTTTTTACGTTTAAAGCTTGGTTGGGTTGGATATTTTTAGATTCTTCTAGATACGGCAAATTCTAGATAAGTCACAAGACCAAACAACACCGCAAAAACTAAATCCACAGTATCTGAATAGGCAGAAGTAACATTCAAAATATAACTAAGACAATCGATCTTTAAATGTGAATATATTTTTTCTTGAAGTAAATATTATTAAGTAACGCCTGATTTTATTAATTCTCTTGACGTGTTCCTGAAATCTGTCCGTGTAGTGGCGGTGTAAGAATATCCACTACCCTATATCGTCCCGTGGGTGTCAGAAAGGTGACAGAAGGAATTTGTTTCCCACGGGGGAAGTGTTCTTCTTAAGTAGAAATTTGGTTGCGACCTATGCTTATCACACCATTTTTGAAATTAACCCACTATAATAGGCTTAATTATTGTTCCCGATGAGGGCTCTACTGGTGATGGAATCATTTATGTGAACAATAAAAAGTGCACTGTCAGTACAATGCAATATCAGTGCTATTGTAGCGGTTGTTTTCTTCAGATAATAGATAACAAATATATTCTGTATGACTGCTGATGGAAGAGAAATCACGTTGTTCTTGGCTTCTAAATTTAATGACCTTATATTATAAGTTCTGCGTTTCATACGGTTAACAATATCGGTCCGATAAAGTGTATCAGTAGAATTATAAAAAAGTCGGGTAAAAATCCAGAATCCGAATCCTGTTCCATCTCTTCCATCCCAAGTAGATAAGCTAACTACGAATAATATTAAATACTTACGTATAGTAAGCTATTTAAAATAAGGAAAAAAAACTACCACCAATAATTAACATTTTCCGGAGAAAATTTGACAAACAGGTGTGAGAGCCAAACCCCACGATAATCCAAACGTTCATCATCATTACAGTCCTTCACAAGTTCACTGCTGAACATAGGCCTCCGCCAAGAAATGCCAGAAACGGAGTTGTACCATAAGTGGTACAATTCCATTTCTGGCACATAAACTTCAAAAATTGTTAATATTAAGTCGCTGAAAGAAACGCTTTTTTTGCTTATTATAAGCCAATGCTTGCTACAATACCACCTGGTGGTAAGTGGTGATAAAGCCCTAAATGGTAAATTGCGCGCATCAAAAGCCTATTCACTCTTGCCTTGAAGACGCCCAAATTGTATTCGGACGGAAAGACGAACGCCAGCAAGTTGTTCCACTCCTTTGCTATACACAATACAAAAGATGAATCAAATCAAACCGTGTGGTTCCAATGGAATATCGACAACAAAGGGGTCAAGACTCGCCGACCGTCTGGTTGAAAGCAGAGGGAGGAATTAAAAAATGACATGCGTGTTATGATGTGTATATGTTACTGTAAAAACTAGAACTACGGTATATCCTAAGATTTTACGGTAATACCTAAGATTTACCAAACCTTAATGGTAAAAGTCAAAACTGTTCTGTGGTAATCGTTAATTTCGGGCTTTTACTAGCATTAATTTAGTAAATCTTATTCTTAGGTTTTACCCCAAAAACACGTAAAATGTTGAAAAATAGTCATGCCTAGAAGTGTTTGGCACATTATC